GGGCCCGTAACACGCAGCACGTGACGACGGGGAACATGCGCCCCAGTAGGAGGAACGCACACGTGGGAAGCACGTGACCGAGAACGATGCGTCGAGCCGTCGCCGAGCCCAACTCGACACCAGGGGACTGGGGAGGAGTGCTAGGAGGTCAGGAGTAGCGCCTGGCCCGCAAGGGATGTGCGATCGTCCCCTCTGCGGCCAGGAACGGGAGCGAGGAGGAGGAGGAGAGGCCAGGGTGTCCGATCACCCCCTTTGCGGGCCCGCGTATATAAGGCGCGATAGTGTACCCTGTACTCTATCGCTTAGATCGTCTGAAGAACTACCTTACTCCGTGCAAGGAGACGCTATCGACTCATCGGGCCCGACACGACCCGATTCGAACCTCCGACCACCGACTACGGCAAGGGACTGAGTTCACGGGCCCTTTCGGTTTCGATCTACCCCGCCCGCCGTACTTGCGGGCCCGACTATCCGTCTGTTCTGTTCCGGGCGCGCGTTCTTAGGAGAAGTCCTTGCACGGCCCGACCCGCAGTCTGACAAGATATCATTATGCTAATATGTATGTCGAGTTCAATGACGAGCACTGGTTCACTCACTGATCTCTCTATCTCTTCAGGGTTGTTGATCGAGACATGTTAATGCGCTACCATGTCGATGTAATTGGCCACCGGAAGGTTGCGCAGAAGTTTCAAGTTCAAGACGAAAGCCCTCAAGAGTCAGCGGCAGCAGTGGAAGAAGATGCAGAGATGGAGGTGGATGAACCAGACCCCATAGACAAGGGTGTTATAAACGAGGAGGACGAGGAAGACAAGGAAGACGAGGAAGTAGGTGTGGATGGGCGTAGTAGTAGTTTAGAGTCAGAGGAGGAGACCACTGAGGAGGAGAGTGACGAGGATGAATCTCCACAGGGCGGCGAGGTCGTCCGCAGCCGTCTGGGTTTTACAAGTAATAATTGACTGGATATATCCAGGCCTGCAATAGAGTGTTTTGGAAGATTAATGATCACCGAATAGTCCCGGGCCGCTCTATCTTGAAGTCTGATTCTCGTTGCCTCGACTATGATCCGGTGGCTCGGCACATAGTGACCGTGCATTAAACCTTGATTGTCAATGCTTGCGATCATCTCGAATCCTGCTTTATAGCTGTTTTCAAAAAAGATGGCCACGGCCCGATTTTTCATCCGTGGCCAACTTTTTCATCACACATCAAAATTTGCACAAATTTTGCGTCCGAGATTGTGGAGGCTCTTTCTCACTCAAAACTAGGTATTCCTGTGTAAATTTCTGTATATTCGGAATCTACTCGATGAGCTGCACCCAATGGTGCGGCATACATGAGGATTTTATATGGAAATTGAGGAGGTCCGACTGATATCGATGCTTGGACCAAACACTTGTAGCACTCCAAAACCAGGGTGGCTGGCAGCCCAAACAATGAATCAGGAGATTCTAGGGTGTGAATTGAGAGCTCTGAGGATGCTGGCTGCCATAGATAGGTGAAAAAGGTGTTGAAATGGACCAAGGTCAAGAGGAGGGACAGCAGCACTGTTCTTGGAGACTGGATAAGGCTAGCCTACTGTTCACAATTGTTTGGAGATATTTTTATACTCACTTATAAACCATATATCTGTCTTTTCTAAGTCAAAAGCTATTGTGTTATAGAGCAATGGGGAAAGCATGCTGAAAATCAGGCGAAGCAAGAGATCAGTCATGTCTCGGTATATTCTTGTTTAGGCCACACCATTGGGTGCAGCTCATTGAGTAGATTCCGAATATGCTAAAATTTACACAGGAATACCTAGTTTTAAGTGAGAAAGAGCCTCCACAATCTCGGACGCAAAATTTGCAGTGATCGACTAAGGGCCCCTTTTTTCAGCTCTGAGATGTGCAAGGGCCTTGCAAGGCCCAGGGGCCCTTTCAAAGGGGCCACAGCAAGGGGCCCTTAGGCTAGGCGAGGAAACAAAATACATAAATATATATATTGTGTTTTGATATATAATTGCCTCTTTTATATACCATGATAAGGTATCCTTGAGACCAGGATTCAATTAAGGTGAAAATAGATGTTCTAAGAGGTCTTTCTACTGGCAATGTCACAAGTGTCACACTATTTGATACCATCACAGGCCCTTGCAAGGTCCTTAGACTGTTAGCAAAAGAGGCAAGGACCTTGTGAAAGGCCCCCAAGGGCCCTTATGAGACAAGGGCCCCTGCCCCCTTGGTCAATCACTGAAAATTTGTGCAAATTTTGATGTGTGACGAAAAATCGGGCCGTGGCCAACTATTTTGAAAACGAAATTGTTAGCTCTCCCTCCTTTATGACGGTGCACGTGACATGTCGCCTGTTCGAATCCCGCCACCGCCAGACTTAAATTTGAGCAAGTCTAAGATAACCCGCTATTCAAGTTTCTTATCAGTTGTAGTCACTTGAGATACGTTAGAAGGCATATATAAGGCTTCCAGATGTAGATAACTCAAAGTGGAGGCTGAATTGCTCAATGTAAATCAGACTAATATGGTTTTTTGTCTTCATATATAATATATATAGCAATTACACTCAGGTGGGTGATTATTAGAAAAGATTGGATGATTAGCTATGAATAAAAGAGTCAAAGAACAAGAGCTAGGAAATTCATGATGTTTATTGAAAAAGAGGAAGCCAAGGCAAGGCTTGAACCCGGGACCAGGCGGACGGCACGGACGTGACTGACAGCTGGGCCAGAACAACATAAATCGATAGTCCAACGAGCATCTATCACGCGCCTAGAGCATTTCTGCCGAAAATAAATGTAATTTCAGTGGGGTTCAAACGGGCGACCTATCACGTGGGGCGTCATGAAGGGGGGAGAGCTATGAGAGTCTTTGAAAACAGCTGTAAAAGCTTAGACATGGTTTTCGCCCACTGCCAGTACCATCCTCCTCCTTCGAGCATAGCCATGGGCGACTTTCACCGAAGCTCCGACAACGTGTATAGTTACTCTGATTTTCGTTATCGCCCTTCTCCCAACCGGACTCCCGCTCCTACAACGCCCGCTGCGATGAACGCTCGTCAGCCTGAGGCTCTTTTCACTCCCGCTGGACCCCAGACTCCCGCCGCTGCCAGTGCTGGTAGTGCCAGTGTCAGTCCAGCGTCCCCAATTGCATTGTTGCTCCCTCGTCTGTGCGTTGAAAACTTAGTGTGTTGCTTTTGATTGACTAACGCGCTCGATAGTGTTTCGGAAGGCGGACGTTCTGAGACCCGAGAGCAAAATGGACCCGGGAGCAAAGGTAGTGGCATCCATTATTTGCCGTAGACGCCACCCGCTAACGAGTACTCAGTTGGTAATCGGGAGTACGAACAGCTTGCGGCAACTCAGAAAGCTATTCTGGCTGACCATGTCGCCCTGCTCACGACTCACACCGAGATGACCAAAACCCTTACCAAAACGCAAGAAACCCTTCAAGCTGTGCGACTGGAGCTCTGGGCTGCCAGTGGGACGCAGAAGAAATTGCGGGCTCGTTTCGCGGCCGAGTTGCAAGTGGAGAGGGCGAAGGCTATCAGAGCGGAGGCAGCGTTGAAGATACAAGCCTAATGCGCAGAACGTTTGGAAGAGACCCTGGCCGCCAGCGAAACGCGCATCAATAACCTCGAGGAAGAGATCCTGGCGAAGAGCAACAAGATCACCAATCTCAGGGCGACTATCTGTTGGCTGCTTCACACCGCCATCTGTCTTGAAGGCATTCAACACCAACTCACAGTGGCGACAGTCTCTTTCCAATGCTAGCGTCATACACGTACTTGGGCTATTGCACACCGAGGGTATGCTTTTCTGTCGTTCATTTACTAGCAAGTTAGACTGCAACTAATACTAGTAACAGTACCGAACTTGAAGATGGTCCTTTCCGTCCAAGGCCTTCGCAAGCGCCTGGCGCTTTCTACTCCAACAAGGTGGACGAGTTGAAGTTCTTGCCTGCAGGCCTGGAGTTCAAAACGGCCTTGCAAGAATCGAGACTGACATGTCATGCCTCGAACAACGGCTGTCGCCCCGCAAGCACAGTTTTCGATGCCAACTTGAAGCAGTCAACGGAGGAGTCAAGGACTACAGGAAGAACCATGGAGGTTTTTGACAAGAACATGCAGAAAAACCTGGCAAATTCGTCAGTTGTTTCTGGTTTCTCGATGGTGAAACCAAGCTGAAGTCGTATCGTTGCGCAGATGTCTGAGGAAGTCAGCGCCATGGTTATTGCGAGAGGGCCAACAGTGGCTCAAGAGTGCCTTGCGTCGCTTGGTGCACGACTGACAGTGCTGACGAGTATCAAAAGTGGGGACTTCGAGGCCAGAAATACCGTGAGGGGGAGACCAAGATGTCAAACGGACTGGAGAAAAGGTTCGTCCCTAGGGCTAAGCTCTGCGAAAAATGCTTATCATTCTTCAAGTTGGTGGCGAATGTAAACACCATATTCATGCCACACTTCTCCGCTTCGAACTCTTTCGACCCTCTCCCATCAATGACGCCCTTCCATCCCGAAGCTCTCTATACAGAGCTGAAATCGCCGCCACCAGCTCTTCCTCTTTCAACGACCATTCAACGGGGAACTGAGTTGCCTCTCCGAGTCAATCCACCCAACCTTGGCGAATCAAAGCCGTTAGTCGGAGCAGAGTGAGCCGGACGATGACGAGGAAGAACGGTTCGACATCGAAAATGTCTTGGACGACGAAGAACAAGGAGCGGGCCCTACTTATCGACCCAGGATAGCCCCAACGTGTCGTTTGTCCATACTTCCCTCGGAGACCTGGCGCAAGACGTAACACCGAGCAATTCTCGCAGCTTCTCTGCCCAGAGCCAAAAGACTAAGTCCGACAAAGACATCGTTTCCCTCACGCCAGGTCGGGCGACGCAGGTTGCGGCTGGAGTCAAATACTGTTTCAGCACGTAACAGAACGCGCAAACTTTTCCTTCGCCAACGCAAACTTTTCCGCCAAACTTTTCCTTTGCCAAATAACTCGTTGGCTACTCCTTCATGGCAGGGCAGGGCAAGAAACCGCACTTGTCCGGATACAATTATGGCGCCATCTCCTCTCTTGTGTTGACTGCCGACCGGTCAGCTCTCCCTCGTCGCAACAAGGAGCCAAATGGTGCACCAACTTCACTCGTTGGTCGTGTCAATCCTCGCGATATGGGCTCCCACGTTCAGTGCGAAACGCCCAAGGACCTCGAAAAGAAGAAAAAGAAGGCTTCCGACGGCCAAGATGCGTCTGAGAAGCAGCCTGCCAAACGAAAGACACAGGCCACTGGGTTTGGGTACACCGACATTATCGAGGCAACCCAGGATGTGGAGGGCCTTACTTATTGACCCATGACGGCCGAAACGCGCGAAGTCTACGAACTCATCCTGTCGTCTGTCCACACTTCCCTTGGAGACCAGGCGCAAGATGTTGTTGTTCGGAGTGCTGCCGACATGGTACTCGAAACTCTTAAAAACGAGAAACTGAAGGATTTCGACAAAAAGCGCGAGATTGAAGAGATTCTTTCAGTCAGTGTGAACAACGAACAATTCTCGCAGCTTGTTAGCCTTTCGAAAAAAATTACCGACTACGGCGCCGAAGATGAGACCTCGGGGGACCCCGACGTCAAAAATATGGAACTGGATGACGAGGTTGGAGTTGCGGTTGTGTTCGATGAGAAGGAGGAGCAGGACGATGACGAAGAAGAATGGTTCGACATTGGAGATGACTTCCAACAACAAGTTCGACAAAGACATTGTTTCCCCTCATGCCATCGACGCATTCTGGGTCCAACATCAAGTTGCAGAAATCTACTCTGACCCAGTCACCGCTGCCGAGAAAACAACCTCCGTTCTCGATCCTCGACTCCGAGTCAAGTTTGCGCGACTGCGAGAACCAACTGATTGAGCTCTTCGAATATCAAAGCTTCCATATCACAACCAGATTCCTCAAAAATCGCGATGTCATTGTCTGGTGCACAAAGCTCATGCGAAGTAATGCTGATGAGCGGGTTAACGTGGAGGTTGCGATGAGGGAAAGGGGCGTGGGTTGGATTCTTCGCGAGCTTTGGGGGATCATCAGGCTGGCAAATCCAAGCCGTCCGATGCTATGGACGTCGATGAACAGAAACACGACGTGCCCAAGACCGCCACTCTAGCCCCTCGAAACGGACCGTGGATTCGGTACCCATTGCGAGCATTCCTACTTGGGCTCAACCCGCTTTGACTGTCCCACGCCTCAATCCTGTTTAAAGCAAACGAGCCAATCCTGCTTTGTGCCCCGACTGGTGCTGGAAAGGTTTGGTTTCTGCTACTTGAACATATGTTGTTCCTCATGTCCTTCACGAATGTCGCTATGCTCATCCTCAACGAGCTCGGCAAACACCGCGACGAAGAGACGGGAAAATTCGACCTCGATGCCTTCAAAATCGTTTACATCGCCCGATAAAGGCGCTGGTGCAGGAGATGGTCGGCAACTTCTCGTCCAGGTTGAAGGTTTTCGGCATCACCGTTGGAGAACTGACTGGCGACTCGCAAATGACGAAACAGCAAATTGCAGAGACTCAAATTATCCTCACGACGCCCGAAAAGTGGGACGTCATTACACGGAAGAGCACAGACACGTTACACAAATCTCGTGCGACTAATCATCATCGACGAAATTCATCTGCTGCACGATGAACGAGGGCTTGTTTTGGAGAGCATCATCGCTCGAACTATTCGACGGATGGAGCAGACAACTGAGTACGTCCGCCTTGTGGGGTTGTCTGCCACTCCTCCCAATTATCAGGATGTCGCCACCTTCCTGCGTGTCGACGACAAGAAGGGTCTTTTCTACTTTGATTCGACCTACAGGCCTTGTGGGCTGCAACAACAGTTCATTGGTGTCACAGAGATGAAGGCAATCAAGCGATACCAGATCACCAACGAGGTCTGCTACGAGAAGGTGCTGGATCAAGCGGGTAAGAACCAAACCCTGGTCTTCGTGCACTCTCGCAAAGAAATCGCAAAGACAGCCAAGTTTTTGCGCGATATGGCCACCGAGAAGGAAACGATTACCCAATTTGTCAAGCCTAACGCTGCCGTCCGCGAAATTCTAGCCGAGGAGGTAAACAACGTCAAGGACAGCAATTTGCGCGACCTTCTTCCTTTCGGTTTCGGTTTTCATCTGGAATGTCTCGTGAAGACCGTGGCCTCGTTGAAGAGCTGTTCGCCGACGGATCCTTGCAGGTCCTTGTTTGTACTGCAACACTCGCTTGGAGTCAACTTGCCGGCGCATACTGTCATCATCAAGAGCACCCAAATATACAACCACGAGAAAGGGCGTTGGGTCGAACTCTCTTCTCAAGACGTGCTCCAAATGATTGGTCGTGCTGGTTAACCACAAAACGACACGTACGGGCGAGGGCATCATCATCACAAAGCACTCCGAGCTGCAATATTACCTGAGTCTGTTGAATCAGCAGCTCCCGATCGAGTCGCAATTCGTGTCTAAACTGGCCGACAACCTCAATGCAGAAATAGTCCTCGGACGATCAGAAACCGAGACGAAGCTGTCCAGTGGATCGGCTACACCTATCTGTGAGTTTTTTTAAAATGTTGTTTGGATTATCTAAAACATCCTTCAAGGTATGTTCGCATGCTGAAATGTATGGTGTCGGGGTTGACTACCAAGACGACGATGTCGGGTTGATCCAAAAGCCAGCCGACATTGTCCATTCTGCCGCCGTTCTGTTGGAGAAATGTCAGCTGCTCAAGTACGAACGGTCATAGGCCCCAGAGTACTAAGCTTGGTCGCATCGCATCGCATTACTACGTGACCTACAACTCGATGATGACGTACAACCACCATCTGCGGCCAACGATGTCGACCCTCGAACCTTTCCGTGTCTTCGCGTTGTCAAATGAATTCAAGCTTCCCGTTCGACAAGAGGAAAAGCTGGAGCTGGCGAAACTTCTCGAGAGGGTCCCGATTCTTGTTAACGAGAGCGTCGAAGAGCCTGCTGCGAAGATCGATGTTATCGTACAGGCATATTCGCAGTTGAGGTCACTACTAGCAGACGGTAAGCAAGAACGATCGCTTGTCCCGCGATACTGATATTTAACCTCATTCCTGCAGAAAATTTCCCTCCACCTTCCGTACAAGCTAGTAACAGGCGACTCTCCGCTGCTGGATCACCTATCGTTTCTATGAGGACGACGAGGATCTTTGTCCCACCATGAAACTGCCAACTGGTGGCTTGTTGGCGACTCAAGCTCACGCAAGTTATTCGCAATCACGCTTGCGTAGAGTCTAGCTTGAGAGCCCGGCATCAAACCACGACATCAGTCTGGAGGGTGAAGTTGAAGATAGCTACCGCGAGGACGACAGCAGAGACGAGATAGATCTGTCCTACACATGTATCATATATTTCTCAGTTAGTTCTTGCTCCTCCTTGGCTGTGATGAGTGAGACTTGAAACTTGAAGTGTTGACAACTGATCAACGTTTCTGCCCGGCCGATCCGTGACACTCCTCTTTTGCGCCGCCACGTTCACCAGTCCCAACCATATGCATTCTCCACTCGTTCAGCTTGGAGTCAACAACTCTCTACTGGGCTGTTGTCCAATTAACCTCAAGCTTCGGCTTCACGTGCAGCAATACAATTTGCTGCGCAACCTTCTTGTTTTCAACTTCCATCCTCCGAGTCAGGCCACAGCATCCACACTCTCTGGGCCTCCTCCAGTCTTGGTTGTCGCGCCTTAGAACAACCACAGTCTGGTGCTCAACACCGGCAGTTCGTATCTCAAGTATCAACAATGCCACCGAAAAGGACGATTCGCCGCAAAAAAGCTTGGCCCGGAGAGCCCCAGAGCACTCTACTAGACCCAAGTCAGGCCTTATTTTTACAACAATCTCATTCGCTTACCAACTCCTTTCCAGTAAGAGACGCAAAATGACCCCGCCACACGAAGACGACTACAAGTTGGGTGACCTCAATCGACGACAACGAGCTATTAGCCGTTTCCTTCAAAATCACGATTGCACCCTTCTCTCGATAGCCCAATACCTTGGCTATGACTCGGGTAAAACTGCGAGCATATTCCGATGTCGCGAGAATAAAAACTGGGTCGTCGACACTGTGGAAGACGATGCAAAGTGGTTAGAAGGGTGGGACTACAAGGCCGCTCTAGCCATCACTCAAAAGTATATGGACGAAGCCAAACATGTGCGTTGTACAGTACTGTACTGTGTGTTGACATATCTGACTTTCCGCAGAAACACGGAACATTGAATAAGATCGACACCGAGGGCGAGGAAGCCAGCGAAGAGGATGAACTCGAGCGAGGAGGATAGCGTCGAGTACGAGAATGGCGTCGAGGGCCAGGAGAATGAACTCGATAACGAAGATGAAGCCCAGCGTGAGAACGGCGGCGAGAGCCAGGATGAACTGGAGTATATGGATGAAGTCCAGCGAGAGAATGGCATCGAGAGCGAGGATAACGTCGGGTGCGCGCTGCAGGCTTTCAACCAAGGGGATGGGCAGACAAATGGGCAATCCAAGAAGACCGAGGGAAAGCAGTGCAACGTGAAGAAGGAGGAGGCTATCGACCCCATTCTCAAGATTGAGAACGTGGAAATGGGAGTGGAGCATAATTCAGCCTTGGATGCGGTCGCGATTGCGATTGCCTCTGCAACTGTGCAGCTAACTCCCACCGACTACACCAACGACAACGATATTCGTCCGACTTTGCCGTGCCACGTTATGCCGCCCGTTGCGAACACTCAATCGGGGCACGCACTCACCAACAACACTGCGCTGACCCCCCATACGCCAACCAATAGCAACGGCCCTGTGCCAATCAAGAGCCCTTCGCCTACGCCGGCCAACGTCCCTACTCCTTCGCCAACCAAGAGCCCTTCGCCAACCCATGTCCCTTCGCCGGCCAAGGACACCGTGCCGACCAATATTACCGTGCCGACCAATACTACCGTGCCGACCAATACTACCGTGTTATCGACCAATCTATCGCCCGCCGCCAACGACTTGAATCCTCCAACATTGACTGCTTTTCTAGTCAATATACAACCAGATCTTTCTTCCTATCTCGACCTCCTCAATAGCTGTGGAATTTATCAAGTGGTCGATCTTGCGTTCCTGGTCGGTCGTGATTTGATGCAAACTCGAATCCTCGTCGAGCGTTTATTACACCTCCCATTCAAAAAACTGGGTGAACTATCAGGAGCATTCGTCAACCCAGTCATGAACAGCGTAGAATGTCTTGCACTCGCCCAGGCAATTCTTGCCTCACCTTCCATCGCAACCACGCCAGAAGCACACTGGCCAGCAGAAATGTCTGCTCTTGCAAATGTTTTGCACCAAATCCATCCGAAACTGGCACGTTTTGTTCCTCTCCTCCGTCACTGCGGCATCAAACAACCATCGGACTTGTACTTGTTGGTTTCAGGGGATTTTGTCGGCACGTACACTCGCATCGAAGGTGTCTTCTATCTACCCATGAAGAACTCCGTAGAAGAACTCGTTGCCGAATACGATGGGCCTTCGATGTCCAAAGTTGAATGTCTTGTACTCACCAACTACGTTATGAAGCTTTTCGGACAACATTCTACTAGAGAGGCATGGAGGCAATACTTTGGGGCTTGAGATTTGTGACTACCTAGCTATCTTGTACTTCCCTTTGCAATCAAGCTCTGTTGACATTTCAAAACATGGTTGTGAATGTCGGTGGCTAAGAAGGTGGCTATAAGGGAGTTGCAAACCATGATAAGACTGATTGTTCTGAGAACATTTATGCCCGGCTCACAAGCCGCTTATGATCACCTTACACACGGTGCCAAGGGTTTCAGTATGCCTGTAAGACGCTTGCAAGGGTTTGTGCGCATCAAAAACTGTTACAATGAACCGACTAATTTTGTGATGGTACAGGGTACATACTACATAGGTCATGCCCTGGAGAAGGAGTCATGTGGACCAGCCTGAGTTTCACTGGCTCACCTTACTTCCGTCCGCTGTGCTACCCCCTCACTTTTTCGAACTTGTTCTCAGTTGGGAAACCAAAAAGTGGGTGCGTTGGGATCAATACAGGTCTGATGACATCCTGCCAGCCTCGAGTTCCATGACGTCGATCACGAAGCTTCAGCGCTTCAGCTTCCGCAAAACCTTGAAAGGTTTTTCAAAAAAAAAAAAGACCTATATATAAGTGTATATTTCGGACCTGCTTCCAACCTCCCTCTGCTTTGACACTCATCAAGAGCTTTCCTCATATGCCCTCGCTTCTCCCTTACGCTGCCCCAGATTACGTGTATATCGACCGGTTGGAACTAGCAGAGTATCATCTTGCCCATATAGAAGATGGTGCAACTGTGGGCTTTGATATTGAAGCTGATCACCGTGGGCTAGGGCCTCGTCGGTCTCGCACGGCAAAGAAGGAACTCCTTCAGCAGCAGATCCAGTCCCTGGGCACCTTCGTCATTGACTGGAATCGAGTCAGTATCTGCGTCGTCCAAATTGCCACTACTTCAGAGGTCTTTGTTATCCACCTTCGACGCATGCAGGGTGCGCCTTTATCCAGCTTTCATATCTTTTCTAAGCTTAATGACTTAATCGCTTCAGCGCTGCCCAAACAACTTGTGCGGATATGCACCAGTAACCAAATAGTCAAAGTCGGGGTTGGGATTTATGGTCAGTTTTCAATTGTGTTTGAGTACAAGATTCAGGCTTCAATCCACCAGGTGACGGGCAACGGCTGTGGGATAGCTTTAGGATCAACTTAAATCGGGCGCTTTCCCTCGGACATTATGCTAGACTGGTGTACCCGGACAGTTTGCAAACAGGCTGTCCGTTTGGAACTGAAGCAGGGTTAGCAGCAATAGTAGAGATTACCTTGGGCAAGAGCCTGTCAAAAGAACTGCAAACTTCCAACTGGGGTGCAACCATTTTGTCTTCGCAACAACTGGCCTGTAGGTTGCAATCGGCTTCCTGCGAGCATGCAATTGACTTCTTTTACCAGATGCTGCTATAGACTCGCATGCTACCATGTCTGCGTATATGACACTGCAGAAAACAGTCGCAAGAGCCAACTTGATCGTCGACGAAGACTGGTACACTTGTAACATCATCTACAGAAGTCGAGTTAGGTGTGGCACGGAGGAGTCATGGATACCATGGTGCCCTTGGTGGTCCTCGGATGGCACATTTTGCGGTATCACTTCCTTCCCGCCTGCTCGCGTCTGTTGCATCGGTGCTCTGATGTTTGGACAAGTATGTTCTGATAAAGAAAGTCTCAAGTAGACCTAGCTCTCTATATATATATCGTCGTTCCACCTGTGGTAGTTTTATTCCCTGAACGACCATCGCCTTGAATTTCTTTGATCTGATCGGAGGGTTGGTTGAGCGTACCCCTCCCTGGCCGGTTTGCACCTGCACATTAGGAGATAGCTAGGCTTGTTCAAAGAGAAGATTACAGGCCATTGCGAAAAAAACTTATGCGGAGTCCAAGGATGATGCGCAAACAGACAAGCATGGCAACAGGAGCCTGTCAGAGCGTGTCATTTGAATAGAAAAAATGAAGTTCACAGTTGTGTGCCGCGTAAGGCAGCGCCGAGAAGCATGAACATGCTGCCAAAGATGATGACTTTCAGTTGCGGCGACCCAAGGTATCGCTCCCGTAGGAGACGGCAGGAAGCACGATGATCTCTCCAAGAGAATAGGCGGAGGACATAGGATCGAGTAACGTTGACCGAGGAGAGTAAAAGATTATCGAAATGAGTAGAGCCACAAAAAATGTCCATTTTATAGAGTTGCGCACCTGTTCACCGCTTGCAAGCCGTTCAATATCGAGGAGTCAAAGCTAAGGGAAGTCAACTCAACATGGATCAAAGCTTTTTCAGGCATACCCGCTGGTCATCTTGACGCCAATACATGTTGGGAAGGAACAACAGTAAGTAGGTAGAGGTAGCGCAGATTAGGCTTCTTGTACCATGGAATCGTGTCCTCTGCTGCGAGCTGGGAGACAATGGCGTCCTCAGACGAGGTTCCGCTAGGCAGACATGGCGTGAGGGTAAAAGATGCTCAACCTGAGGTTCTGTGCCTTATGCACCACATTCAAAGTCATTCTATAATGTATTGCTTAAAAGTTTTCGTGATGAAGATTGAGAACAGTTCAGTAGAGCATTCTTGGCGTGCCCGCGCAGTATGTGCGGGACGGGAGGCGCGGGAGGAGAAGATCTTGTGAGAGTTTGGGGAGAGTCATGTGTATCGGAGGCCGACTGTAAGAATGGAGGGAAAGTGGCGCCTAGTCGTCGATAACAAGTGATCGGGAGCTGAAGGAGTGCGAAATTCACGAGCTTTAGGCGCATCTGTTGCCTGGTGCTAGAGAAATAAAAGCGCAAGGGTCGACGCCAAGGTCGACGTTCATCGATGCATCATCGTTGTCGTCCTGAGGCTTTTTCGCAAAAAAGAAGGTTCGGCCCAGGTGGAGAAGGCAGAGGAGATGCAATTGAGCTGTGTGCGGGTGAACGTAAAGACGTGTTTTCTGAGCGTTGATTTGCGTTCGACGGGAGAAGGGTTGGATTGTCGGTAGATGGGGGCAGTTGCCAATAGAATGGTAAGAAGGTATTAATACCAGAGCTGTCGTTGTTCTGAGTTGACAATGTACCATTTGCGCTATCTTCTTCGTCAAGCCCAAAGTATATGCGCTCGAGGTTGTATTTCTCTGTTCATATACGCAATTTGCCCGATGTTATTCGAGACAGCATAGAGCAGACTCCGACTGATGTCTTCTGCAGAGAATTTCACTTTCTCGCCACCCTTCTTGAATACCTTGCCAAACGAGCTCGCAATCATTGTCGACTTGAGCCCGCTCCAAAAGAGCTGTTAATTCAGCATCTATAGTGTCCTTCGTCACTTCTAGCCCCGGAGATGATTGGAGCACGGGAGGTGATGGTGCAGGCGGATGTATGAGATAAGACCAAGGCGAATTGCCAGAAAGCGAGGGGGGATAGTTGAAAGTTGGTAAAAGGCCGCGTTAGGCGGTTCGATGGGTAGCGCAAAGCCCGAGCTAGTCACTCCTGTCTGCACCGCAATACTTCCGCCGGTTTGTGATGAGTTATTGGGAAGAGGTTCCGGGTCGGGTGTCGTTGGGCGATCAACTGTGGCTGCAATATCAGAGTGTTTTTCGGTTGGGTGTATGCGTAAAGGACGATTATGGGTAGTAACAGAGGTTTCGCTGGTATATCGACTGGTTGGAAGTGCACGCTTTTCGCGTATTCCACGAGCTGAGCGACTTGTCAATTTCAGCATTACTTCATTAATGTGTAACGCACGATATGATTGATAGTTGTATCCATTCGCAGGTACCTTCGACAACAATGTTCCAGACGGTATGCCTTTCACCTATCGTCTGACAGTGACAACGATGGCATGTCGGCATCGCAAGACTCTGTGGCTGACCAAAAGCGAAATGTGCGTAGCGTAAACCTGTCGCTGCGTTTGACTCGACGTTATATAGGGTTGTTGTGGAGATACGATACCAGCCCAGTTCCTGCGCTACCACCAATCGCGCCTGAGTTTCCTGGAGTCAAAGATAGCCCCGAAGAATGGACCATTTGCGAAGCAACAAGTTCCTTGGGGCATGTATGTTTTCTCGTTGACATTCCCTTTGGCAGCCCTTGATACTCACCAACAGCTATTGTCGTCTATCGAAGTCTTCTTGGTGGATGGAACGATACCGTTCCATCTGCAACATGCAAAGACACCACCTGATCTTGCCGTTAAAGTGACAATAACCCGTCGAAATGGACATGGGCGATCGAGTAGCAAAGCAATGTGTTTGTTTCTTTGTTTTGTGTTGAGCTGGGGGAGGCAGAAATACAACAACGCGATGACTGTTGGGTTTGGTATGACCGGGCACGGGTAAAGGACCCGGCGTCGCTGAGTCCGGTTGAATGATTCAAATGTGCGGCAGTCGGTTTGCTCATACATGGCGCAGGACATGCTGGCGGTGGAGATTTGGGTCCCAGGCGACCCACAGTCGAAGGGGTTTTTCGGGTATCCAATCAAGCTGACGGACCGGAATTACGGAGGGTGATGAGGGAGATTGGATGGCCAAGAACTTGAATGAAGTTGAGACATTGCGCTCAGACTATCACATTTCTTCAACAGAGGATCGACAGTGTGTCGATAATGTCGTCGAGAAACAGAAGATTGGTCGAAAATAAGAATGCGCCCCACGTGACGATGGATCAAAAGACAAATTTTCTTTTCGACCGTCTCCTCATCATGCCTGCTACACGCAAAACTGCCCGCCGAGACACAGAAGTCATCACACTAGACGACAACTCTTCTAAGGCCGTCGCTAATAAGCGCGCAGCTAGTCGCACTACTACCACCATCACCACCAAGAAGACAGTCGGGCAGGTGGCACAGGCTCGGAAGAAAAACCACCGCCCTGCCACGCAGCTGGATATAATCGAAATATCGTCCGACGAAGATGAGGTACCCCCTCCTCCCAAGGCGGCTGCTCCAGCCGGTGGTGCGAAGATGGCCAGAATGCGAGCGTCTGAAGCAACTGGAAAGGGACAACCTGCGTCTGGAACAAGAGAACAAGTTGCTGATGCAGTGTGTATGTCTGACCCAACATGACCATTGGATCGCACTGACTTGATACAACAGTCGAGCGAACTGGACGACGGTGTTTCATGTGAGATATGCAGTTGCAAAATGTGGTCTCCTTTCATGTGTGTCATCTGCTTCATGAACAAATCTTTGCTCATCGCTCTCCAGTCTAGCCGAGTGCGGGCATACGTTCTGCAAGAGGGACCTTGAGAGGTGGTTTCGCGCCACGCTCACCCGCCACCAGGCCACCTATCCCAACTACAACGTGAACCAGCACCACCCCTACGCCCACATCCCCGGTTATGCTATCCAAACGCCACAACCCACGGTAAGCCCCGAACTTTCTTCAAGACCATCCCTTATTAATAATCCACACCCGTAGTACACATGCCCAAAATGCCGCACGAACATTACCACTCAGCCGATCCAAAACTTTGCCGTCAAGCATCTCGCCCGAGTAGTGGCGAAGCAGTCCAGAGAGTCCAGCCCGAAGAAAGTTGGTTGCAACACAGCTTCGCCATGGTCTCGTTTCTTTGTCCGGTAGTTTCCGGCCTCTTCTTGGTCAACATTGGCAATTGTGCATCTATCATTACAACCAACTTCATTCTACGATTACTTTTTTGCACCTACTTGTGAACTGTAGCTTCATATTAGTTTCACCACGGTCCGATCAAACTCATCCAATCCTCTGCGACACTTCTTCCCTTTGTGTCTCAATCGGATTCATCTCGACTTGTTGAAGCAGCGGAAGTGCTTCGTATTGTGCAAGTAGATTGCCGTCTAGTACGCCCTTGGACAGGGGGCTTGGAGTCAAAGTCATTGCGCACGGTTCTCCAAGTCGTTAGTGCGACGCAGGCGCGTGGTGTCACGTGCAATGATGACCGGGTCCTCCTGCACACGATGAGCAAAATCGACCTGATAGAATCTTGCGGAGCTAAGAAGACATGGTTAGTATGATCAAGGACCGATCCATCAACATTTACCTTGAATATCGCTGGATTGGACTGAGCGATGCGAATGAGAATAGAGAGAATCCTTACCATTCAGACTGTAATTCATCGCACGCGTGATTTTGAAAGTCTTGCGTTTTCCTAGCCAACAGCGATGATACGTGGAGCCTTCTTCTCGACCTCCCTCTTCGTCTTCTTGCATGTCCTCATAGAAGAGGTATATCGGATTGCGGCGACCACGCTACCATGTATCAGCTAATGTACGAGTGGTCTCGAAAAGATGTACCCTGACTGGTTTCTTTTGCGCATAAGGGCGGTTGAGCTCCCAAGCCGAGAGAGCCGATGCTGTCGCTCCACGAAACCGGCAGACTTCGGATCCCAATCTTGGCAAAGAAGTATGGTCGTTGTTCAGGCTCCCAGTCGGGCAAAACACCTCGATGTCGGAGGACTTGATGGATGTCTTCAATGGTCATCGCAGGAGTCACCGCTTGGAGTATAGTAAGTAGAAGGAAAGAGAAAAAAGAAGACGGGACACACTGAGTGCCAAAGTGTGCTTTTGCAGCGCAGTAACAAACAGAGTATGGCTCTCTGCTTGCGACCGTTCCTTCCATTGACGTCGGGCGTCGTTCTGTCATGAAAGTCCAACTCCATCGTCGCTTTCGGGGTGGAGACCACAAATACTGCAAACGGTGATACTGGAGGAGCGACGGGAAGAAGAACCATCCTAGAATGTGAAACATTGAGCAACACAACTCATGATTAACTGAATATTACACACCAATAGCCAACGCCAGAAAACCTGGGCAAATGACGAAGTAGGTTGCTGCGAATGCAAGCTCAAAGTGATGAAAGGGTTGAAGCCATTTTGAAGGAGAGCAATAATGAGCGATTGGCCAATTGCCGGAAACAGGAAAAGGGCAACGTTGAGCTATCCAGCACAAACCATTCGACGCTATTGTAAATGGCGAGGAATGGAGGATTGCGCCTCGTTCTGAGCATAGATATCAGTAAGAGCGCAGAATTTGGAATTCAATTACGCACTTGGTGGTCCAGTTTGCTGAACGCGTGAAGATGGTCGCATTGTGAGTGTATAAAAGTGGATCGAGCCCGCCGGAGCTTTCTGGCTTTTATTGAGCAAGAAAATAATGATATCATTGGAGAAACGCACCTCGCTGTTGAAATAGAGCGTCATATCATGCGGAGGGTGGAGGACGATGGTGCGCGATGGTGCTGGCTGGGGGCTCAAAGGTCGAGCCGCTTGCGTCACTGCACATGGCGGTGCTCGTCGTGGGGCGGCGCTATCACAGGAATGCATATCTGCGCCAGCGGAGATGTCCTTACCGTGCAGGGCTGTTGAGTTCGTGCGAGGAATCGGAGTGGGCAGGCAGCGTGTGAATATGGTCGGGCTGAAGACCCGATATGATCGGAAAATACGCCCGTTGGCGTATCGACCGTATCTGTCGCACCGTCTGACGGGTCATCCCGGACCGTCACCCGTGCCGTGACAACAGGCTGCTTGACTCGCTCCGGGACGGCTCCCGTACCGGAAATACGGTGCCGTCCACCCGTAAAGTTACGGCGACGCCTAATCACTACCGAAAGCAAGTCGTTGAGGTCACAGCTTGTGACGTGACGACGTTGGTGATCATGATGACGCTGACGATCATTCCAAAAAAACCTTACATGGTTGTTCCAGTCGGCTCTCTGTAAAATTCTGGCGCCAGGTGTGCGTCTTTTCCTATCTCTTTACTCGCAGCCTCCATGAATTCTAACCAAATATCCTACCCAGCTATACCTGCTTCTCTGAGCGTAAGATAGCTTCATTTGCTGCACATTTACTGATAGCTGAATAGACAAGGCTTCATACTGTGCTGCAAGCAAGGAGTATTTCTAGCCTGGAAACTTTCACAAACTATCTATCTACTGCCCAAGGGGGAAAGTGGGTACTGCCCATTTTCTGCGCTATCTTCGATCGTGCACCACAACAGGAATCTACTCCTCACCTTGCGTTCATATGGGGCTGCATAGAAACAGCCGTTACCCATCTGGACACCTTCCCCTCTTCTTCGCATAACATTGGTCCTCTCTGGAACCGTATCTGGCCTTGGGCTTCATATTTCTATACCAAAGTTCAGCCCTCCACGGCTCTTCAACAGGGACGTACGATCGCAAGAACCGATATGGCATCCATCCTGCTCGAGTTGTTTGCGTCTAGTCACCATCTGATTTGGGAGACCGATGGGGGTTTGGAACTGGTCTTCTCTTGCGTCCACGATATCATTCACTGGCAGTCTCCGACGACTTCTGTTCTATCTGAATCTACTCTTCAAGCCCTCGACCGCACATATACCTGGTTATCCGGTTCTTGGGAACTGCAGAAAGAGTTTATCCTCGATGCGATTGGCCCTTCACGTTCTGCACTTCGTTGCTTGATACAGGGTTTGCGAAGTTGCCCGCTTATACAACACCCATGTTCAAACAGCTCAGACCGGCCAAACCTTCCCTTGGGCTCCCTGTATAGGTGTTTTGAAACTCATGCATCGTATGTTAACATATGCGGAATCAACCAGTCAACTCGGGCTCTTCGCTTCCAAGCCCCTGCTTCATGAACTGGTTTTCGTCCTGTCTATTGACGACACAGATCTGCAGCACCATGCATTGCTAGCATGTCTGCGAATCTTTTCTCATGCGGACGGAAATCTCTTACTGGCCTTCGTGCTCAATTCGGGTCCTTTTTTATCCTGTTTGATTGATCTGGCCGTCGAAATCATTCACCTCAGGCTGCTTCCGAAATCTCACGGTGCTTGCAATTCTGTTGGGAGTCGCTCTTGCCCCCCCGCTCTGATTCGTCGCAGGGTGCTAGAGGCTTTCTGGGCTGCATGGGAAGCCAAATGTGCGAAAATCACTCATTCGGCCGGGGATGCACACGAACGCCTATCTCAAATACCTGCTTGGACCTCATTGATGCGCCTGGCGCAGGACAGACTTAAAGAGCTCGAATTCCACGTTTCGAACCCCACCATCGGAATTTCGCCCACCAAGCTCTGTGGTGCTCCTTCAGTGCGTTGGTTTCTTTAACATATAGCATGTTGATTTTAATACTATCGAAAGTGTCGCAAGCCCGGGTGTCTAAAAAGCTGTGGGGGTTGTAGGGTCGTTAAGTACTGCTCCAAGGTCTGTCAAAAGGCGGATTGGAAGATGGGACATAGAAAAGCCTGCTCGTCTTATCGCATGTCTAGAACTGGTTTGTGGCCCACTTTCAATCCACAGTCACTAAAGTGTTCATGGGTAGATCGTGCGTCTACCTACTTGACCAAGCGTGAATACCGCTTCATGCGGTTCATTCAAGATCATGAGTATGCGGCCAATTTCACCCTCATTCAAGCTCTGCACAGGGATATCGAGGGAAGTCAACCTGGTGGAAGAGCTTGTACCATCTGCGACTTCACTGCTGGAGCCCTGAAACTGAGCGTCAAGAACGTTGATGATGAAGAGGGTTATCCAGAGGTTTGGTCGGATATCGTTAGACGCTTCGATGACTCGGTGGGCTTCGACATTGCTCTCATTACTATCAGCGTTGGGGTACAGGATCGCGTAGTTCCAGTTTACTATTACCGTAATGCCTAGACATGGGGTTCATGGTCATATTTGTTCCCTGAGTAAAAACCTTTTCAAGTTTGATACGTATTGGATTGTGGCAGGTTCTTGGAATTTTGTACGCATGCCAATAAACCGATCGCCTGCAGAACGATGTCGACTCGCATGTTGTCGGAACCGTGGAAAGTATAAACACCTTGGGTCTGGTTGGCTGGAGTGGAAAGCGGGATGGCTGGCATAAGAGCGTGGTTAGCAAAAGATCTGCAGAATCGGAGGAGAGGCCGTGGAGATTATCGTGGCTTCTGGTAGTAGTGAGAGCTGAGGCGGATAGAGGGTTTTCGGATTGGTTGTGAAACTTTGCATGAATATCGCACCTTGCTCCGGACTGAGCGACTGAATGAATGGCGCTAACGACTCCATGACTCCACTCCATGGCTTAGGTCGATACTCGTTGACATCAGATGCATCTTGCGACTCGGGGTGCTGGCGTTGCGTCGGAAGACCTTGCGGAAGACCGGTGCGATGTGGCACGTGCTATCAAT